GACAGTGCTAGTGGTGCCAACTGTCACAGAGATATTGGGCCCGTGCGTACAGTCATTGATCCAGGTGGAATGAGCTTTCAAACCGGGTGGGTGGGGGGCGTCTTGATTAATCAGTTCTGGAACACGCCCACAGGTGAATGGGGTGGAAAAGATCATAAAAAATAGTCTAGCAACTATGCACCCAGGCATTTTTTTCTCGGCTCAGGTGTAATCTTTTACTTCAAAGAATATGTGATCAGCCGATCACAAAACAGGAGCTAAGGTCGTAGCAGTGGCCTCATGCTCAGATGTAGGAGTAGTTCCATCCGGTGCTACTCTGGGGGGATGCAGGACCTTCCTGCAATGGGAGATGTGGATCCAAGTCACACGCTCTGCCATTTTCACAGCCATCTGGGTAACCAGTAGAACTTGGAACAGACCAATCCAATGCTCGGACTTCCAGGACGCCCGTCTGAGGTTCCTCACCAGGATGTGTTCACCGGGCCTCAGGTCATGGAGGGGGTGGTCCGCCGGAGTTGGGAGAGCAGCTTTTACCTGCGAACGAACACAGTCAAAAAGAGAGGACAGTTTAGAACAATAGGTTAACATCTTATCTTCACACAGATTTGTGAATGAGATTGCTGATGTTTCAGGGTTTAAACCCACATTTGGTGGTACTGCAAAAATGATCTCAAAAGGACTAAGATTACTTCTGCTCCTCCTCCTTGCTCTCATGTAAAACAGCCCCAATGGTAAAGCCTTTGGCCAGGATAAGCCTGTTTCACTGCAGCACTTTGCCAATTTCTGTTTTATTGTGTCATTTTACCATTCAACTGCACCCACGCTCTGCGGATGGTAAGCACCATGTTTTTTCAGGTCAATGCCAAGATATTTACTAAGCTCAGAAATGGCTTCATTGGCAAAGTGTCTACCGTTGTCACTTGAGATCTTTTCAGGAATCCCCCAATGGGGAATTGTTTCAGATAACAAGCACCTGGCGACATTAGAAGCAGTTTGTGTAGATGTTGGGAAGACCTCCACCCATTTTGAAAACGTCAACAAAAACCAAACAATACTTTTTCCCTTTAGCTGGACTTAACTCAATGAAATCCTTCATTAAATGCTCAAAAGGTGGTGAAGGTGCTGGATGGGCTGCTTCAGTTTTAGCTTTAATCGGCCTCCCTGCATTCAGCTTGGCACAGATCATGCAGGACTGACAGTATTTCTGAGCAACAGTTGTGAAACCAGGGGCAAACCAGTGTGTGCTTCCCATAGAAATCCCAGACTTGGATGCATAAACTAAACCATGGGACAGTTTTGCAAAATGGTTGAAAAAAATGCTTCGGCAAACAAGGCATAGTGTCAGGACCCACCCAAGCGTCATTTTCAAAGTTAAAACCTGCTTTCTTCCAGGCTTGCGTCTCTGGAGCAGTGGAGAAAGACTGCATGTATCTCAGCGAGCAAGGCTCTGCAGCCTTATCTTCAAAAATGTAAACACTTGTGGGCCATAAGCAGCCTCCTTAGCTGCATCGTCAGCAGCTCTGTTTCCAACTGAAAATGGGTCAGTGCCGTTCGAGTGAGCAGCACATTTGCAGACTATTTGTTTTGGCAAAAGAATGGCTTCCAGCAGTGCGGCCACCAGTTTATGATTCAAAATTGGTGAACCATCAGATTTCAGAAATTTCCTGTGTTTCCAGAGTGCCCCAAAATCATGCACCGCCCTGAAAGCGTACCTGCTGTCAATGTAAATGTTTACTTTTTTGTTTTCAGCCCATCTGTACGCTTCTGTTAGAGCTATCAACTCTGCTGCTTGAGCAGATAGGTGACTAGGTAATGAGGAGGAGCAGATAACATCAGCATTCTCATTCACCACAGCAAACCCAACCTTATTTTCCCCGGTTCCCCTGTCCCGCCGTGCTGAACCTTCCACAAACAGGTGAGCCTCAGGTAGACTCAGAGGTTTATCCGACAGGTCCGGACGGGGGTTGCAACTCAGCTCTAACTCTGCGACGCAGTCATGAGGGAGTCCTTTGTCGGACAAAGGAACTAGCATGGAAGGATTTAGAGCTGAGCAGCGACGCACTGTGACATTTGGGCTTTCGAGCACAGATGCAAAATAACGCGTATAACGGGACGCGCTGAGATGTGATGTTTTTTGTTCATTTAGAATTTGGTCTACAGCGTGAGGGACAAACAAGTTCAGATTGGAATACCCCACAATGTTGCGACGCTAAAATAGCCTTTTCAGCTGCTGCTACAGCGCGCAAACATTTAGGCAGCCCAGCAGCTACTGTGTCTAACTTAGCGCTAAAAAAACCAACAGGTCTCATCTTATCACCATACATCTGGCTTAGCACCGAGGTCATGCAGCCAGATCTTTCGTCATCATGCTGATAAAATGGCTGTGTCGTGTCTGCAGTTCCCAGACACGGAGCACTCTGCAGAGCCTTTTTCAACACCACAAAAGCTTCCTCTCCTTCAGGGGACCAAGAAACTGTGCCAGACGGCACCAGGCCGGGGGCGTGACAAATTTCTCTAATTGGCCGTTCTAACTGTGAGTAGTTAATGATGAAATGTCTACAGTAGCCGACCAGACCTAGGAAAGACATCAGCTGCTTCTTTGTGACAGGACAGGGCAGGGAAGTGATGGCTGAGACACGCTGCGGAGACAGTCTTCTACCTGCAGCAGATAATACATGCCCTAGGAACGACATCTGCGGTTTTACAAACTGCAGCTTAGAGAGGCTGACCTTGTGACCCTGCTCCGCCAGATAGCATAACAATGCCACAGTGTCCTTCTCACACTGGCCCTTAGAAGGGGAGGCCACCAAAAGGTCTTTAATGTACTGCAGAAGGGCGGATCCAGGTGACAGTGTGAATGATGACAGGTTTTTGCACAAAGCTTCATGAAAGATTGTTGGGGACTCCACATAGCCCTGGCACAGCTGAGTAAAAGTGTAGCAAGCACCTTTAAACTCAAATGCAAACCAGAACTGGCTATCTTTGTCAACAGGGATGCTGAAAAATGCATTACTCAGATCGATCACACTAAAACAAATGGCCACAGCTGGTATTTGCGAGAAAATAGTGTAAGGATTTGGGACAACCACTTCTCTCGCGAAAACAGCAGAGTTTACTGCCCTGAGATCCTGGACAAAGCGCCAGTCGTGGGGTGGTTTTTCTCTTATTATTTTACAGGAAAAATGGGTGTTCGTACAGGTGAGGCCTCACACTGCACAATAACACCAGCCTTTAGCAAAGATTCAAACACAGGGGTGATTCCATCAACAGCTTCTTTTTTTAAAGGGTATTGCTTCAGTTTTGGCCTAAAATCAGATTTAAGGGTCACAATCACCGGTTCCACACCTTTTATCAAACCAACATTACACTTGCTTTTTGCCCATAAATGATTTGGGACCTGAGATAGACAGTCATCAATGGAGCCAGACTCATTTATGGCCAGGGCGGTTAGACAGTCGACTTTGATGTTAGGCAGCTGGCACAGAGAGCGAAAACGGTCAACAGAGTTCACACTTTGCTCTGTAAACTTTCAGAGAGGGGGAGAAGTCAACCCCTGGTGTTGCTGTGGGAAACCAATCACAGGTGCTCACACAGCATAACACGAATGGCCCCAACTCGTCCCACTTGTCAGATGGAGCTTTAGCCAAAGCAATGTGGGGAACTGATCCAGAAATCATAAAGAACTCACTCTGGGCATGATTCTGTTTCACTGAGACAGCACATCGTTCTGAGCCCCAAAACATAAAATCTGTGCACAGGAAATCTTCAAAAAAATCAACGAAACTCTCAGTAAAAGGGTCTCTTAAAGATGTTGTTGTAAAAGCTTTACAGTGTAGGTTAGCAATCTGCTGAATCACTGCGGAGGGGTTAATTACCTCCCTCGTTTTGAGTGTCAGATAAACAGCAGCAGTTCCGTCAATTTTCCACTCACAGAGAAACATGTGATGGTCATCTGTGAGTGCAGGGCAGGTGAATGATGTTGTCTGTCTAATTACTTTTAACCCTGTGGGAGATGAAACTAAACTCAGGCCAAATTTCAAAATAAAATCTCTTGCTAGATGATTTATAGGGCAGTTAGTTGATAGCAAAAATCTATGTTTCAGTGTTTTTTCCCCAAAGCTGTTCTCACCAAGATCTGAACACTCCACTGATTCAGCAAAACACTCACGCACACACTTTCCTGAAGTTCCAGTAGAAAAAATGTAATCTTTGCTCTGTACCAGTGAAGGAGCATCAGAAGTTTTTATGACAGAGTGCGTTGCACCTGAATCCACAAGGAAGACCACGGGTTTCTTATCAACCAAAAGAACAAAAGTTGGATACAGCTTATACGCCTCAGCAAAATATTTGACATAACTGTTCTTGTCCTTTGTTGCTCCTCCCCCAGTTTACCCGCCCGGACACTGGTGGGTCTTGGAGAGGAGTCGATGTCTCTTTGTTGAACTGGAGGCGGTGGATCAAACCCACAGTCACATGAAGGTGGCTGATGCAGCTCTGTGAATCAGGCCCTCAGCCACACAGGTGTGACCGTCACAGTCGAGTCTGATGTGTCTCCTCCAGGAGACATCGTGTGGGAGCCTTAAGCTCGACCTTCAGCTGCCCTTCTTCCGACAGTCGCTCCCTTTGTGAACCCCAACTTCAGTGTAGGCATAGTAGCACAAGGACGCCTCACTTGTGTCGGTCACTGTCGTTGCTTGGCAGRCGCTCCCTCGTAGGATGTGCACTTCTTGTGTGGTCGAGATGTGATTTTGTGACCAGTAAAATAGGTCTCAAGGGAACTGTTTTTACAGAGAGGAGTTATCCTATCTCCAACTCTGTGGCTAATAACCGGTAAAAATTAACTTTATTGTGATCTGACCTCCTTTTTATTACTACTTGCTTTAAAGTAACCACACTCTTATAATATGTAATTACCTTGATACCTTACCATAACAGGACTCTCCTGTAATCAGAGAAAAACATTAAAGGACAACCAGAAGTATCAATGTCCAGTCAGTTAATTTGTCTTTATGATGCTTGTAAGCAGTTTAATAGAATTTGCAAGAATTGCCACATTTGATTATACAGATTAAATATATCGATTGGTAATTGATTGATTAATAATTGATGGTGATGAAAATAAAGCACTCTAAATAGCTGAACTATCTTCCTGATTAAGAAGTGTGACATATTCTGTTAATTTCAGAGAAGGCAGGACAAATTTAGAGCAGTCAGTTATTTACCCCTATGAGGTCCGAATGTTGTCTTAAAAGATCTCTCTCAGAGCTGGGCTTGGTCCAATTCTGGTCTTCGGTCTTTTTAGACTCGTCGGAGGAGAGTTGGTCAGCTTCTGCCCAGATGAGAACTGATCTTCAGATCCGGTTGCTGCTCTGCTGCTCTGGAGTCCTGCTGCTTCTTCGCTGTTCTTCCTCCAGCCGATGACACGAAGACCCTTTGCTGTGGATCAGCTCGGCCTTTTATCCTTCCTCTGTGTGCTTGCCTCCCACCTTTCTGGTGTGACCATGTGTCATGTGTTTTTCCCTGGTACTTGCCAGAATGTTGCAACTTTGCTTGACTTCCTCTTTTCGGGGTTGCTAGGTACTTTTTTATATGGTATCCATGTCCACACCTCGTTGTGTCAACATCTCAGAGAAGCATTTTGCTGCACAAAGTTCAACTTCTATTTGTTAAATTGGGGAAGTGAGACACTCTGGCCGTTTAGAAAGGGGAAGTGTGCGCTCTCTGACAGTTAGAAAGAGGAAGCAGCGCTCAGCCTTACACAAGGTTCATACTGTATGTTTGCTTTAGGGAAACGCCTGGTTCTTTCTTCACAAGAACTGCCACACACACATGCAAACTGACTTTACAGAGTATACTTTAACCTTTCTTTAAATTTATATCTGCTCTAATCACCATCTTTCTTTTAAAACATAAAAATCATAGATCACAAATCATAAGAATCATAATATATCAATTAAAAAATCACAGTCAAGAATCATCATTGCTTAGGTTACATACATTTTTTGTAAGCATTAAATTGATTACTTTAATTCATTACATTCTCTTCCTGCCTCCTCAACCTCTTTGCCTCTCGATCCTCGTTCTTCTTCCGATGTCTCCTTTTCCTGTCCAGGTCTTGCTTTTGTAGGGGTGAAAACTCCCTGCGTTTGATTCCAGAATTGTGAGCATCCTGGATTCCAGGCCCTCTTGACACTGTGTGTGTGTGCAGGTGTTTCAGAGGCCCCTGTGTTGACTTCAGCAGAAACCAACATGCGTGTGTGTGTGTATGTTCTCATCAGCTGGTGTGTGTGTGTGTGTGTTTTCAATTATCTCAGAAGGTGCAGAAAGCCTGCTGTCAGCCTGGACTGGCTGTGCTTCTGGCGTCCCCCCCCCCCGGAGGCTCCGTCCGGCCCTGTTCCATACTTAGTCAGCTGCGGGCATCCGTCACCCCTTTGATGATCCGCTTCGGGCAATCTTTAACCCAGTGGTTCGCATCTCCACAAATGTAACAATAGGAATTTGGAGGAGGTCTCTTTGCCGGCTGCTGACGCTTCCAGTTACTACAGCCTCTCCCTCGACCGCGAGGGAAACGAGCAGCTGGTTTTGTCACAGTCTGGGCCAGTGTGAGCTGTGTTTGCCTGTGGGCCTCAGATATCAGCTTATCTTCAGCCTCTCTTTCATCCTCCAGCTTCTCATACGCGCATCTGGCATGTTTGCGCAGTTTCTCCAAGCGAGCGTTTTTCATGTCGAGACAGGTGTCCAACACTGCGAAGACTTCCGGTAACAGCCCGTTCAGGAAATATTGTCTGAAAGCGCTCTCCCAATGCCCCATCACGTCACCCAGGTCTGACGGCTCGTCAACTGCAGAGTACTCATTATGGACAGCTAGCAGCCAAGAGTAATAGTCCTCCGTTGATTCAGCATTTTGCTGCACACAGGCCTTCACTTTTGACATGACAACCTTTCTTGGAAAAACTCGGTTGATGGTGACACACAGCTTGTCCAATGCAGCTCGGTAGTCGTTGTTTGCTGCGTCATCAAAGGTCGGATGTATGACACGGTATTCACCCACCAGGTCGCCTTTAATCTTGTCAAAGTTGGTTCGGCCCATGTGAAAGAGTAGCAGTCTTCTCAGTTCAGGGAAAGTGGGTTGTACCTCCATGCAGAAACTTTTAATGGCAGCGCAGAACTTTTCCCCACCTTCCACAATGTCCGGTAGCTGCTGCATGTACACCTTCATGACCTCATTTGTCCAGGGGCGGAACACCAGTGCTGGACCTGCATGTCCTGCGACCTCTAGCATGGGCAGGGTCAGCTCATTGGTCTTCTGAGTTAACGCTGCTTGCTGTGATTCCAGAGCCTCTTTTCCCTCCTGCAGCTCAACCGGTTTCTTTGCCACAGCATCAGAGCTGTTGTACCCTGTCTTTGAGCGAGAGGTGGAGGGGCAGGGGGCTTTTGCTGCACCTTGCTTTTCCTGTCTTTTACTGAGTTCCCTCTTTGTAGCAGCTGCTTCAGTCACCCGTCTCGGCTGTGGCCGTGGTGGCTCTTGCTTCACTGGGTCGGTGCTCATATGAGGTGGTGTCTGAGGCCCGATATCAGCAGCTCTGTCGTTATCAGATTCCGTGTTCAGCACCTCTTCCTCCTCGTCATCAGATTCAGAGCAGGATGCTGTTGGCGGTGGGGGCCGGCGACCAGGGGCCAGAGTGTCCTCATATTGTTCTCTCAGCCCATGCAGAGAGGGATAAATGGAAGGAAACAAACGTTTAGTATTTTTATCAACAGCTTTTAAATCATTTTTTTCATCCTTAACAGTAGGCATTTTTTCCTTTTCATTTGTATTGGGAGGAGAGCTACTCTTAAATATACACATCTCTGAGCTCAGAGCTTTTCTTTCCCTCCTGTAAGCTTCTTCCTCCCACGCTGACAAACATTTTTATGATGCTCTATTTCATTCAAATCAGAGACCTTTATCGTTTTTCTTGATTTAAGTTTTGATTCATGTTGCAGTAACCGGCCCCAGAGGTGGGTCAGCTGTCTAGGGCTGAAGCCACCCCCCTCCGGAAATCCGAATTTGTCAGACCACACCTGCAGACATGACATGGCCTCTTCGCCATACTTTTTAACCATTGCTTTTGCGCAGGGGCCATCTGGTGCTAACATGGGCTGAGCGACAGATGTAATCTGACCCATCACTATAACTCGTGCCTCAGCGCACTACTTATAAACTTCCTTAAAATGGAAATCCGGCGGCCGCCTTTATCTGACTTTTACCTACCCTGTTTCCCTGAAACAGCAAATGGAAAATGAATTTTCCCTCAGCAGTTAGCCTGGCTAACTACCTACTCTAACCAGGTTCTAACTAATTCACTCTTGGCTTCCTCAAAACAGTATAGTCAAACCAACCTGTTTTAAAAACTTGGTCTGGAATAAAACCGCTCCCAGAACCTACCTCAGCTAAAAATCAGTCAGCCCCTGAAAACAAACCAGAGCAGGCATCTAAACAAATAGATTTTTAGAGTGTGTTGAGCCCAAAAAGAGTTAGCTGTAGCACATTCGCTCCTTAACTTGTTTTTTTTCCCGAAAACGTAAAGAAGATATTTAGCTCACCGTGTTTCCGTCAGACAGGTTCTTTTTCAGCTCCGATCTCGAAAAGGCACCCACAATGGCCGAGCCAAAGACCAGAATCCAGCGTGGACACTTGCAGAGGGAAAAAACATTTTTCTCTCCCCGTCCAGCTGACGGTTCGGCCGCAGCGGGCGACTCCTGAACCCGGAAACTGCCTATGATAACACCAAAACATCTGTCGTGGCAATTAAGGACAGAAACACGTTGAAATAATGCCAAGAGAAAAAGTCTTGCATGTATGGTCGTAAAATTATTTATTTATGGGCAGACAAAGAACAGAAAACAATCAGGAAGTCTGTTGAATGTGGCCACCTGATAAGGTTTTTTAATAAAGTGTTATTTGAGTTCACTGTTTGTTCCAAATAAAGACTCAAAGTGCGTGAC